TATATATATATATATATATATATACATATATATATATATATATACATATATATATATATATACATATATATACATATACATATATATATATATATATATATATATATATATATATATATATATATATATATATGTATATATGTAAATATATATATATCATGATATATTTCAGTGTTTGTGAAATTTAAATGTGATGTTGCCCCGAAATATGTGAAATCAAGAGAAGCTTGTTTTGATTAAAATTTTTATTTCCTGTCATAGGCTTAACATGACAGATGTACTGAAGGAACATAATACATCTGTTCCAGATATTTAAAAAAGGTACATATTATGATTTAATAAAAGTCTAGGTTAAACCTATCAAGATTCAAAAGAGAATTCCATTCAAAAAAGAAATCATAGTATACAGAAGGTTGTACTTGACAAAACAATATTGACACCTTTTATCAACACCAAACCAATAAGCTCATAACACATCATAGTCACATCACAGCCATTCTATGGTTCAAAAAACTGACAATTTTCCTTTTGGTGTTTTGGTTTTCGACCTTGGTTTTCTCATTTTTGGTTTCGGCCAAGAACTTTCATATCAGTCCATCCCAAATGATAAACATGATTGATTTATAGTTTAGTAAAGGAGAAATCGAGTCATATTTACAACACAACTGGAGCAGAGTTCACTTAGAAGATAAAATATATATTACAGAAGTATAAAATTTAGGGATTGGTCATTTCTTCAACATAAATAATATGGATGGAAAAGTAATTGATCTTTTTAAATTTACCTGTGAGAAATTCTTTTCGAAGGGCACCAGTGTCGATTCCTGCTTCCCCAAAGAAGGACACCTTCAACATGGCAGTGGGTGAATTTTTTTTTTTGACGTTGCCACTGCAGAAGGCCTCTCTCCAGAATGTTTGTTCTTGAAATAAGGATGCTGAACTGCTTCTCCACATCAACTCTTTGACAAATAGCATCCAATACATCATCAACACTAAAAGAATCCATAAATGAAAGAATAAACAATCTATTCAGTTAAGAGTTCAGAGTATTAAATCTGTGTGTGTGATGTTTTTTACCTTTTCATATGCTCCTCTTCTATTTTGTTCTCCTCAATTTCATCCATGTCTGTTACATTTTTGCTTCTAATAAACATACAGAAAAAGTTGGTGTGTCAATGTGAAATTCTCAAGATGTTATATCCTATATGTAATTTAAAAAGCCCTGCTTTTTCAACTACCTTTCTCCACATGTGCTTGCATGGATTTCAAGGAAATAAGGAGCAAATTTCAAGTTACAGATAGGACACTGAAGCTTCTACAACAGAAATGAGAGTTAAAATATTGAATAGAGTTCCAGTGTAGTTATGATAATGTTCTATACTCATTTCTATTAAGCTATTACTTCTTCATCCAATTTCTCTGTGTTGGTGTGCTCTTCAGATGGTTGCACGGACGCTATTTGGACCTCGGTTTGACATGCCTATCATAATTAATAGACATATAACATTAATGATTAAGATAAAAAAAAAGTGGGACAATTATTTTATTGCCATTTCAATGCAATACAATTTCATTAAAATAAATGCATATATTGTTCTATGATGTATGTACCTCTGTGTCCTCAGCTGAAGATCCAGACTCTGTGCACTCCTGCACATGAAGAGCCAAAATGTGCAATGGCAGACTTACTTTGCATGTTTGGCATTGTGCTTTGGGCATATTTTTAAATTCAACTGCATCAGGAGGTAACGGAGTAAGGTCAAATTCTTGCTGTAAAGGTACTATATACAGCAAGTTTTTCCCATTTCCTGTCATACTGCGTATTAAGGTCCCTGTGTAACCTTCAGAATCAGGAGGCACCAGTGTCAGTTTCCTTTTTCCCTGACCGCCTGAAAAAAGTAGAGCCCAGATCAAGTTCACATAGATGCACATTATGGGACTATCATGTAATAAACATTTGTTACCCCTACCTGTAGCCTTGTAGAGCAGCCATCCTCCAGTCAGACCCTGCATTTTAGGATATTCACTTTGAAGAAGTCCAAATAACTGCAGAAAAAGATCAATATTGTGATGCCTGCAGACTTGATGATCTTTACAGAGATATATAAATCTGAAGATCTAAATATTTATTAATTTAACCTCTTCATGGTTCATGTCCCTGGTCATTGTGAGATGTCTTTTACCCAGTCCTGCCTGGGCAAGCTGAAATTCCTCAGAGGAGGTAGGTGTTGTTTCTGCATTACAGTTCAGCAAGTATACATAGAAACTGAAAGGTTTCCATGCTTTAAAAGGTGGTGTCACAGGGATCCTTGGATTATGCATTTTTCGTTTTCCAAGAAAACTTTTTTTCCCAAAGAAACCAGGGAAAGATCTGAACGGAATTAGAAAAATACATGAAAATGACAGCACAGTGATAACACACAAAAAAGGTTAAAAACTTTTTAAATTATTTAGTTTCATATTTAATCTAAAACCTTGCCATCTCTTGATTTACAGAGGGAGGTCCCTGTTCCTGCCTTACTCCCTGTGCTGCCTGGTGCTGTCCCTGAGAAAGATTCTGAGTGAGCACAGTAATAAGATTCTGTGCAGCGGCTTCCACTGTAGAACTGTAGTTCACATTCTAAGAAACACATATATTAAAAAAATTAACAGGTAAAACATGACAGAAATTATGAACTATGTTAAACGTAGGGATGCACCAATACCGGTATCAGGTATCGGCCTCAATACCACATTTTCTAAAGTACTCATACTTGTTAAAACTCCCCCGATACCGGGAACCGATGCCATGGTTTGAGAAATGTCTGTTTGAGCGGCGTGTGAGGGGTTAATCACAAAGTTTTTTTTCTCTAAATAATTATTTGTTCTATAATATGTTGCATACAACATGCTTTAGTTTTCATTTTAAATAAATGTTCTTAATTCCATACTAGTCCCTTGTTTTTCTGTAAAATCATATGACTATGTGACTGTAACCTGTAAATTTAAATCATGTTTTTATAAAGTACTCGGTATCTGCATCGGCTAGTACTGAAATGCAAGTACTCGTAATCGTTTTACAAAAAGTGGTATCGGTGCATCAATAATTAAGCACAAATAAGTATGCATCAGCATGATAGAGTATAATGCTAGCACGAACAAAAAATCTGCATTATATACAGGTTGGATCTATATGAAACAGCCAATAATGACTGGAGCACCAATAACAACTTCTTGCCACTGCAGTTCTCTCTCTCTCTGTTATGTAAGAAATTGTTAACTCCATTAGTAGTGCCTTTATTACTGTATTTACTTAAACATGACACATAGTTTAGGGAAGATTTTGCAGTTACTTATGTCATTTCGACTGGAATCATTCAGCGGCCTAATACTTGGGGGGAAAAAGGCCTTCTGAAAAAGATCTTACTTTTTGCTTTACACCATCATAATATTATTGCTTTTTATCTAAAACACACGCATAAGTTTATTGTAGGAAAAACCGTGAAAATTTAACACGTTCCCCACCTTTTTCCCTCGTGATAATTTGTAGCATAGCAAAGGCGTACCATCACTGAGTAATAACAAATCAAATGATTAATTTGATTAGATTTAAGCATCAAGACCGAGAATGACCAGCACACTGTTTGAGGAAACAAGGATTCCTCCTGAGGAGCAGGCCAAAGAGGCTGGGGAGAGGGAAGTCTGGGTCTATTTACTGAAGCTGCTGCGCCCGCGAGCGGAGCCCGGAAGATAATGGATGGATGAGAGTCTAGCAACATTGCCTTAGCAGCAGGTGAAGAAGACTGCATAAGCCCGATTAGTTATGGAGTCTTTTAAAAAGTTTTCCATATTTTTGGTGAAGGATCAAATTGTTAATATTACTTTACCTTTCGGAGTAAGTTTCAGCCGAAAATGATAGCGAGGCGTTTCTGTTGAGTTATTGTAGCATTTCACCAAAAAAATTAAATAAAAAAACAGAATAGCCAAAAAATTAATCTTACTTTTAACCATAACAATAGCCACTTCGTAAATTCTTAGTATTCACAGACTGCAGTGTAACTTTTCCAAACTTAAACACTCACCTGATTGTTCGCGCCAGCAGTGTTGTCGGAAGACGACGCCATTGTTCACTGAGGCGCAAAGCAGCACCCACGCACGCTACTTTGAGAGCATGGGAAATGACCACTTCTCACATAGTGGTTGGGAAAACTTCTCATAATTGATCAGTCACGGCGTAATTTGTACACATTACTGATTGAAAGAGGTTTAGTAACTGAGTTTATGAGTTATGCATGACATGTTCTCCAACCATTATCAAATAATACAGTGCAGGAGGTGTTTGATAAATTTTGTTTATTCCCAGGTTTTCTGAAGGTAACATGAAAAATGGGCCGTCTTCAGCCTCTAGCGGCCTGCTGTCACTCATGATTCCCCGCCCCTCTCAGTGTAGCCACGCCCACCAGGCCAAAACAGGGCCAGAAGTCTGTAACTGAAAAATACAGATCCGAAAGTGAAAAAAATAAATCTGAAGCTGAAAGAAATTTTTTGTACATTAATTAAAAAGATCTGAATGTGAAAAAATGTAATCTGAGACTGACTGGATTTAAAAAAAATAATAATTGAAAAATAAATTACTGACATTTTTTTTAGTAAAGTTTACTCAGAAAAATTCAAAATAAAAATACCATTGGGGTTTAAGTTCTTACAAATATTCCAAACGTTTGATTTTTTTTTAATCCAAGGCTTTCTTTTTCAAAGTTCACTCTAAAAATGTGACTTTTGCTTTCAGTTTACATATTTTCGATTTCAAATTTTTCTTTTAACTACACAAACATTATGGCCCTTATTTAAGCCCATACACCAGCAGGCCATGGATGACCTGAAGGCCCCGATGTGCTCGGCTCCATGCTTGGCGCTCCCCGACTGTGACAAGGAGTTCCACCTTGAGGTTGGTTTCTCAGCTCACTGTTTGAGTGCTGGTCTCTACCAGATTCATGACTGCGACAGGCGTGTCGTAGCCTATGCTAATAAGCTCTTGACTGGACCTGAGTTGAAATACTCGGACTGTGAAAAGGCTTTGCTTTCCACCATGTGGGCAGTTAAGTACTTTGCAAACTACATTGGCGGACAGAAAATCATCATTGAGACACAGCACCAGCCGGTGACCTTCCTTAACAGTCAGCGCATCAGAGATGGTGTGGTGACCAATTCACGAATCGCTTCGTGGCTGCTGGCTCTTCAAAGCTTCGACATCGAGGTGCGCTATGCCCAGAACCGACGTAGCCCTCTTGGCATGGGTTTGGCTGCGTGCCAACACTGCTCGGACGACACCATCGCGTCAGTCCCGCCAGCCAGGCCCCCTCAGGCTCTTCTAAACCACAACCACCACTACTACGACCAGTCATACTGTGCGGGTTTACCGACCGTATACGTGGATGGCAGTGCTTTTCAGCACGGTTCTGCGCCTAGTGCGGGCGTGGGTGTCGTCTGGGTAGACGGTGACCACAGGGCGTCCCGATGTTACTCTCTGGGTGAGAAGACCTCACAGTATGCTGAAGTAGCGGGGATCGTGATAGCGCTACGTAGCGCTAGGGACCGTGGCTTCCGTGAACTGGTGATTTGCACTGACTCGGACTACGCGCGTCTCAGTTTCTTGTGTCATCTACCAACTTGGAAGAGTAACGGGTTCCAGACCGCTAGCCGGAAGCCCGTCAAAAATCAGGCCCTCTTCAGGGCATGTGACGTTCTGGTAACTGCACTTGACATGCACGTTTACTGGCGTAAAGTCAAAGGTCACTCTCGCGCACCCGGTCCTGAGAAGGAGTTGAACGATCTCGCAGACTCTTTGGCCAAACAGGGCGCGATCGATGGCCCCCTGTGGGTTTTCGACCCCGGGTGGCTTGAGGGACGTGTGTGGTCTTTCCCTGATGAAAACCAGGTGTGTGTTGTTACTCGAGCTCGGGCTGCTAAAGCGTCCGCCTCGGAACCACCCAAAGGTGCGGTGGCCGTTCAACCTGCCTATTCGGATACCGATCTTGTCAGTCTTCAATCCCAGGACCCTGCTATCAGCAGGATGATCAAGTACATTTCTGATCCTAAAACCCAGCAACCAACTTCCGTCGAGCTTGATTCCGTTCCAGAGCTTCGCTCTCTCTTTCGTGTGCGGTCCACACTGAGGGTCGTCGAAGGGCTGCTGATGCACGCTGCCAAGCCTCCTTCGCCGCCTGTCCTTGTTACTCCAAAACCGCTGAGGAGGGGCATGATCTCGCAGGCTCATGACTCTCCATCCGCCGGTCACAAAGGCGTCAAGGCCACGTTCGGTGCCCTGTGCCAGGTTGCTTATTGGCCGGGGATGCGTCGTGACATCTCGGACCACGTCGAGCATTGCTTGGTTTGTTGTCAGTTTCAGCCGTCCAACCCTACGCACAGAGCTCCCCTACAAGAAAAAGGGCCGACCACTCCATGGTCGGACTTGCAGTTCGATTGGGTGGGGCCTCTGAACAAATCCACCAGAGGAAGTAAGTACATACTGACTGTCACCTGCGCATTCACCAAATGGGTTGAATGTTTGCCGGCACCTGATGACACGGCTAAGACTACAGCGATCCTCTTGCTGAATCACGTTTTTGCCCGCTTCGGTTTGCCCACAAGGGTCGACTCGGACAGGGGTACCCATTTCACCTCTGCGGTGATGAAACATCTTTGGGAACCGTTGGGTGTCAAGGCTAAGTTCCACATTAGCCACCGGCCACAGTCTTCTGGACAAGTCGAAAGGGTGAACCGCACGGTTATCAGCATGTTAAAAAAGTACGTGTCAGCTAACCACCGAGATTGGGATGTGAAACTTCCGTTGGTCCTCATGGCCATACGCGCTACCCCCCATGGGTCTACAGGTGTCTCCCCGTTTGAAATGATGACGGGCAGACAAATGACCCTACCACTTCACCTGCTGTATCAACGACCGGTTCGGTCCGACACAGCCCCGGCTTGTACGAGCGGCCAATACTTGCAGGACCTGAGAACTCACCTGCTTGCAGCATTCTCGTTCGCACAGGCATCTCTGGAAAAGTCAGCTGAAGGCAGGAAATCTTATTACGATAAGAAAGCCTCACATTCCGAACTCGATGTAGGTGATCAGGCCTGGTACTACATTTTCGCTCCCAAAACGGGTAACAATAATGCGACCTCGGGGAAGCTGGCTAAGAAACTTTTGCCCAAATGGTCGGGTCCATACCTGATTACAGATAAGATCTCTCCGGTCGTGTATCAGATCAAGATCGCCGACAAAAACAAGGCGCCCGTCTACAAATGGGTACACAGGGACCATATCAAACTGCACAAGGGTCCCACAGATTTGGCCAATACCGACAACAACAATCCACCGACATCACAAGGGGGGGTGATAAATAAAAGGTTGGTTCCACAGATTTCTATCTCTGATTACACAAATTTGTTTGTTTGTGAGTGTGCATGGTTGTCTTCCATGTTATACGTCACATGCAGACTTAAGGTGTTGAGACG